GACCTAAGGTAATAAATTCAAATACGTTATTTTTATAGCCCATGGTTTCAACATTATAAAACAAAATTTACAGGACAGAACATATAAGTCCTCCTTTTCAGAAATAGAAAAGTAGTTGTGTTGTAAAGTAAGATACTACCTATAGGTTATTAATCAATGCTTTTATTTACCATTTAAAAATTTTGCTATGTAAAGTTTTAAATACAAAAATACAAAATAGAAAAAAAACCCCAAACCCATATAGCATAACCTAGATTTAATCATTAACATTTTATTATATGTATTTGCTTCACCTATTTTAAAAAAATCTCTAACAGATGCTTTTTAAAATTTTAACATTACCACACGCAGTAAAATTAATTCCTTGATGTCAACTAACACCCAGGCAAAGTTCAATCCTTACAATTGTCTCAAATGTTTTTTTTTTTCTAACAAAAGTTTCATTTATTCAAAGCAAGGTCCAAAGTCAGCATGTTGCACTTGGCTGATACATCTCTAAAGTCTCCTTTAATCTGTAACAGTGCTCCCTTCATTTTTTTCTGTGCAAGTTATTTGTTGATAAAGTCAGGTTATTTGTCCTTTAGAATTTTATACATTGTATCTTCATGGTGTCATTTAATAAGCTCTTCAATCCCCCTAATGTTTATAAATTGGTAGTTAGATCTAGAGGCTTTATTATATTCAGATTGAGTTTTTAATTTCTATTTTGGCAAGAATTCTTCCCAGTTAGTGCTGTGTACTTGCTATTACAACACATCAGGAGGTTTATAACATCTTATTTCTCCTTGTAGTGATTTTTAAGATTGATCACTAGGTTCAGGTGATGTCTGCATCAAACTTTCAACTTAAGGTTTTAGTAACCACTGATAATCACTGCCTAGGTCCATTACTACACTGGGTTTACAAAATGGTGATTTTTCTATCATTCTTCATGTAATTATTAATGGTGATTTTTCTATAAGAATTTTCCTTCAACAACTATTTGAATACCCTGAAATAGTTTTCACAGGAAAGATACAATAATTGCTTCTTTCATATTAGTTTCTAGAATAAAAGGTTGGTGCCATAGCAAGATGAAAAAGTATTTAATAGATATTAATATATAATAGAAATGGGAAGAGAAAATTAAGAGGTAGTATTTTATCTTTTCAAGCTCTATGAACAAATCCTGTGCCAATTTAGGTACAGTCTATTTTTTTTCCACACATGAAAATCCTGAATAGAACAATTCATTAACAATTCATTAATGCTTCTAGATCAGCAAGTGTCCAAGTCTAAAGAATATTTCTTTTAGGGATCAACTGTCTCACTGAGAGGAAGAGGATTTACACATGCACGTCCCATTAACATTAATAGGAGTTACCAGCATAAATCCCCCTGCAGTGATAGGTGAAAAGACTCTTACAGACTACTAGGATTCAAGTTCTAATGATTATCTGTCAAATAGCCCTAAGAATCATCACCACCAGAAAAAGCAAACACGGCAACTTGTATGGGAAGAGCATCTCATTGCAGCCCTACAGCCAAACTAAATTAATGGAAAGAAAACTGGCCTTAAAAAATGTGATGGGGCGGGGGGAGGCGTCTGGGTGGCTCAGTCGGTTAATCAGCAGAGCCTTGATTTTGCTTCAGATCATGATCTCAGGGTCATGGGATCGAGCCCAGCATCAGGCTCTGTGCTCAGCATGGAGGAATCTGTTCCTCTCCTTCTGCTCCTCCCCTTGTCCTATCTATCTCTAATATAAATAAAATCTTTTTAAAAAATGTGACGTGGGATGCTAAGGGTTAAACCATTTAACATTTTATTTAATTTTTTTAATGATTTCATTTATTTCTTTGACAGAAAGAGAGCACAAGCAGGGGGAGCTGCAGAGGGAGAGGGAGAAGCAGGCTCCCCGCTGAGCAGGAAGCCTGATGTGGGGCTCGATTTCAGGACTCTGGGATCATGACCTGAGCTGAAGGCAGACGCTTAACCAACTGAGCCCCCCAGGGGCCCCTAACTAACATTTTGAAAAAGCCACCATACAGTACATCATTAGTTTTTGACATAGTGTTCCACGATTCATTGTTTGCGTATGGTGACTAAAATAATAAAATAAAATTAAAAAAAGAACTAAAGCATAAACAGATGCTAGTAAAATATAAAAACAAAATAAAAAAAGCCATCATTAAAGAGAATTCAAACATCAAATCACCTGTTTAAAAAAAAAAAAAAGTGTGAATACTGTATGAGCTCCAAGGTGTTTGAAGGATAATACAGCTACTTGTTTAAAAATTCAATTAACCTTATTTTCCCAAATTTGATTTATGAATAATCTCACAGATAAATTGTCAGTTTTGAAGGAGTCCTGTTATCTTTTGAATGCATTCTGAGAAGCTTTAGGAAACTACCTGGAATTGACAGAAAATGTCACTCTGCTTTAATTATTTGATCCAAGAGCAAATCAGAGTTCAATGAATGATTTCTGTACACGAGGAACACCAGCAGTCTCTTATTTATTTCAATTAAATTGTTGTGGACTCAACTACCAAAGAGAAAAACATTTCAGGTTCTCATTCAACAAATATGAAAAACATTTCATATTCTCATATACTAAGTGAGATGTGAAAACAGTTTGTAGGCAATGTACTATAAAGCCATAGCCCATGCCTCAAGCACCCATTTCAAACAGAATGAGATCTGATGCTGGCATCTAGAACAATTTGCTAAGTAAATCAACCCAGGTATCATTTGATTTTGCCTTTCTCACAAACCTGACAAAGTTGACAAATGCTTAGAAACAAAACCAAGTATACAGCTGGACAATTAACTGTTTAAATAATAGACTGATACCAACAAATCAGTTCCAAGACAATCTTTAATTTCTTGGTATATATGCAAAGTTTTAATAGTAAAAAATAGGAAACCACACTTGAAAGGCATCAAAACACTTTTATTTCTTCTGAAAACTTACTGCTACAGTGTGAAAATTATGAATAATCATATTTATGCCTTTGAAGTGCATATATGAAAATTAACCTAGAGATAAATTATTCAATATCAATGCAGTAAATGACTTATAAGAAAATGTTTAATTCCTGCTTTAAAGCATCAATACTACTTACTGATCAAATTTCAACAACATTTTTTGAGGTCTTTGGGACTTTAGACAAAGGGCTGCCTTTTTGGGAACTATAGCTATGACAGAAGTTATAATCATTAGCATGGTCATTATTTTAAATAAAAGGCTGCTAATCTCAGAAACTACCATTCTAGAAGTTAACCATTAACATGGCCATTTTACTATGGGTAACTGAATATCATCAGAGATGGGGAAAATTTAAACTCAGTTTTTCTATAGAAAAATGCCTACATTTATAATATCTACCTACCTACCTATTTGCTTTTCTGGGCAGGCATGCCAACTAGATAAAGACAGTAGCAACACAGGGTAACTGGTTTTCATGTAGATCACTAAACTGAATGGTATTATCATTTTTGGTTAATAAGCAGCATGTATAACTGAACATTTTAAACACATGAATCAAAATTCTTTGATGACAATATTCAAAATTTTAAATTAGCTACTGAGATTTCTGTATCACATATAACATATTAACTTTATTCATTAACTTCAGGCTTATGGTTTTACAACAAAACCAAAAGGTTTTTCCTTTTTTGGCTTAAAACTATGAAAAAAAGAGATTTATTTGCAGTAATTAAGATAGCTGAAAAGAAAGCTCTTAGAATAATTTCTATTATATTCTGAGGCAACAAGAAATATCTAAAGTTCTCTACCACAATGTTTTTAACAGTTGTGTAATATTTTAATCACCATTAATCATATTCAGGAGCTTTTAAACACTTAAATAGTATTTAATAAATAACCCGGAAGAGAGATTATGATGCTGGCTAATGGATAAAATAAGGTACAATATGGGTTGGGCCATGAGACCACAGAGCATCTCCTTCCTTGTCTACATATAGATAGCTGCAGTAAAGCTATCATAGTCTTTCTAGTTATTATTCTGACCTACCCTGATTGGTTGCTTTCATAAATGTGTATGCTGCATTCAAAAGGCCTTAACTCTTAGACTATAACAAAGTACAATATCTTAATTGGTGCAACTTACTGCAATTGTATTCAGACTCAATACTTTCATATAGTGGAACCTTGTATATTGCTTGTATTGAGGGGCAGGGAAAATACCTGGTGCTTCAAGGTAGGTACTGTGCATTTAGCACATGGCATAGTTGGGTTTCAGGAAACATGATTTGACTTAAGAAAGATCTGAATCTATATAGCAAAATGGATTATAATGTGATTCTACTATCCCTAATTTGTAGGACATTATAAAAGGGGAAGAGAGGGAGAGGGCCAAAGAGATAGGAGATGGGGTGTACAATGGGCAGAGGAGTTAGGAGCAGCCTGAGAGGCTGGGAAGGTTTTCCCTTCCATCTGGATTCAGCTATATCCACAGGGGATTGGAAAGGTGAGGCAAGAGCTACATTCCCTGGTTCTTTCCATTTTCTATGAATCTGTGACCTGACAGAACTAGTCTCCTTTAAGATCTCTCAAATCTGAAGAGGTCATAGCCTCACAGCAACTATGTGCTTTCTACTGTAGCAATGGCTCTCTCATTGGTAATGTAGGCCAGAATGAACAATAAACTTTTTATATATTTAATTATTGAAATAAATCCAAAGTATTGCTCAAATAGAGCAAACCATCAGAACTTGGCATCTGGAAAAATTTTAACAGTCACTGTCACTGTAACTAGATTTGCCGGCTACGTATAGCCCCAACATTTTTATGTTAAGGGTATATTAAGGTTTACCAATGGTCATACTGTATTCAGAGTCCTTAGTGGTTCAGGTTTACCTAGCAGAAGAGGAATATGAAGAATTTAGAGTGCTTTCCTTACTAATATTCAAAACCACAATTCCATGTTACTATGCTTACTGGTCTACAAGACTATAAAATACTCATTTAGAAATGAAACAGATTTTTTTTTTTTTTGCTTAGTTGCAATAAAAACACTGTGATCTATTGTGTTGGGGGGAGTTGACAGCAAACAATTATTTGCTGCAAGAGATTTTTGATATTCACCTCCAAGTCAAGGGGAAAACTTTTTTTCCCCCCAGAACTATCATTCTAAGGATTGAACTGCATTTATCTTCAAAATTATTCTCCTACAGTAGGCAACATGTTACTATTTCTACCTTACATATGGACAAAGTGAGGCCTATTAAGTTAAAGAATTTGTCTAATATCATCAATAGTATAGCTAGAACTAAATTGGGTCCATACACAATTAGGCTTTAGTTACCTGACCAGACAGATTTCCACATACTGATGAGCATATCCAAATCTTTCCTTCCATTTCTTCAGTCCTATAAGCTTTCCTAGTGTGTAAATGATTCACATACAAATATCACTACTAACAAAAAATGTTGAGTAATGGACTCATGGTTTATTTGTAAAAATGTATACTTTAATATTGGCATTTTCAAGAGTTCTCTTGAGAACAAACCAAACCTCTATTCCAAACACAGGCTCCTGCCTCGATCATGATACTTTAGCTTTCCTCAACTACATTTATATGTGCTTTCATCATTGGTGTCATCATGCCCATACCCATGAAGAAAATAGAATTAAAATAATCAAAGGGAATATGTGACCTGATTCTGAAGATGTGGCTTTCAAACAAAGATCCAAAGTGGTAAGCAAAAGCTTTCTGAATATGACAGAATTATTAACAGTGCATAGGTACACTTTCATATCCATAGCTACTATACTCCTGGGAACCCATCCATTTATATTTATCTGCTAATTCTACAGGTTTGGTATCTTAAAGCAGGCAAACCAATGTGCTTTATAAGTGTTTTGTGTTCTTACAATGTCCTCTTAAAGAAAATCCCCTTTTGGATTTCTATGACCTGCTTCTCTCGGTAATTATGTCAACTGGCTGCTGTTTTCTAACATTTTTCAAACAGTTCTTCCGTGAAGAAGACTCTGAGGCCAGAAGGGATTTCCAAAGTGGGATATTCAGTTTGGCATATATCCATTACTGAGAGGCCTCCTCTGGGTTTCTCAGGCTTGTGCTTTCCTTGGGAATCTCTGAGTTAGCTTCTGGTATGACACTGAATTCAGAAGCCTCTGATTGTAAACTGTCACCATCAATGATAATGTCTTCAGGATTTGGTGGGGGTGGACAGAAGTCTTCATTGGGGCAGATTAGCTGGAAAAGTGTTTCAGCCTGGCAAGGGAAGAAAGGACAAAATAGTTTTTGGATATCAGCTTAAAATGTATATGCCTTTCTGAAATGATTTAAAAAATGAAGTATCACCCTTGAAAATTTCTTCAAGTTATAGACCTTTATCAAGTATACATGACCTTCTAAAAATCTGCTTTCAGAATTCCATGACTTCTCTCCAATTCTATGCACGCATTCAGGCCCACCATTAAGTATATCAGTACTTGATCAGATTATCAAGTGTTAGATAGCTGAGAGTTTAAGGACATTCATTCTACACATCGGTAGAAATACAATTTCCTTTAATATTCTTTATGTAAATTCCCAATAGAGTCTATTTGTGATAGCTGTACAATTAAACTTGGCATAAAATAATTTTAACAAGTCATTATTAAAATCAAGAAAATTCTTATTTGTTCAACTATTTGCTTTTCTGGTATAATTTAACTCCCCCCCCACCCTGGGCTTTAAGGAGTATAACATGGTGTTCAAGATGACGGACTCTGAATAGATGGCCATGTGTAAATGCTGGCTCTGCCAAATAGTAGCAATGCAATTTGGGGGAATGCTTAATCAACTTTTGAGCCTTGCTTTCCTTGTCTATGAAATGGCAGACTAAGCCTCTATATATGGTAGCTGTTATCTCTGTTAATAATAAGTTAAAAGGTCAAGATTTTATTTTTAAAGATTTTATTTGAGAGAGACAGAGAGAGAAAGAGACTGCGCACACATGTGAGTGCAAGCAGGGGGCGGGGGGAAGAGCAGGGGCCAGAAGAGGGAGAGAATCTCCAGCAGACTCCACCAACATCGGCCAATGCGGGCCTATGTGGGGGCTTGATCTCGTGGACCTGAGCCGAAACCAAGTCAAACGCTTAACCAACTGAGCCACCCAGGAGCCCCAGAATGTCAAGATCTAAGCTGAGCTTAGTCTGGCAGGGTAAGAGAATAAGAAACTGAATGTGATTTTAATGAACACACACGCACGCATGCACACACACACATACACACACAAAAGCAAATGTTAACAAGAAACATTGCTATTCTATTCTAAATATATCCTTACTTTTATTTAAATGAATACAGCTCATTGTTAGATAAGTGTCTTTGACATACTAGGGAGCTTGCACTCTATCCTATTGGTAAACAAAAGTCATTAAACCGTTTTAAGGTATATGCTTGTTTTAAAGGCAACGTCTTTCTGTACCACTTTAATCCTTCTTTCTGACATGCACACGAAGTCATCCCTTAGGCCAGGTGTTGACAACTATGGTCCACAGGCCAAATCCAGCCCGCTATTCTTGTAAATAAGGTTTTATTGGAACACAGCCACTCTCATTCATTTATCTATTTTCTGTGGCTGCTTTTCCACTACAATGGCAGGGTTGAGTAGCTGCAGAAGAGACGACAGGAGCTGCAAAATCTAAACTATTTATCATCCGGCCATCTAATGTTGGTAGACTCAGGTGGTTGGTCCAACGGGGGATTAAAAGTGACATTCCTTGGGAGTGGGTGGAGGGATACTAAACAGAAACTTTTGAGCTCTGATGTGAAGTTGAAAGAAGGGACAGAGAAAAATACTTTCCCTCTTCAGTATAAAGGGTATATTTTTTGGACATGCCATTTTACTGTGACTGTTTTGAAACTAAATATTTGAGATGCCTACTTTACTCTCCACCCCAGGAACTCACCACAGGTCTTTGCTGGAGAAACTTAGCTCTTAGAAGCAGGAGGACTGAGGTCAGAGCCTCTATCTCATCCTTTAGTTCCTCTTTTTGTCTTTTATCTCAACCTTGTCTGCCTATAGAAGTTCTCCCTCCCTCTTACTTCCTTTCACTCTCTGCATGCAATCAATGGCCAAATCCTGACAATCTTATCTCTTAGTTCTTGACTCCCTTTTTTTTCCTTCCCTATAGATATAGCCCAGGCATATATCATCTTTCCCTTAGATAACTGCAACATCTCAGAACTGGTCACCTTGCCTCTAGGTTTACCCCATGTAATCCATTTCCATGCTGCCTTCAGAAGGGGTCTATGGAAATGAAATTCTGGTTATGCCACTCTCTGGCTTAAAACTCTTCATTGACTCCTCATTTCTTAAAAGGATAAAAATCCAAGATCTTTGCTATGGCATACAAAACCCTACAAGCCTATTTCTCTGGTCTTATCATTTACTCCATCCCATCTTCATCTTTCAGACTTTTTGCTTCACTAATACCTATTTATGTGCACTTTCTTAAACACGTCATGATGTTTCTATCATGGATTGGTGCAGATGCTAGAATGTTTCAATTATCTTCCATTTGTATGGGGAATTGCTACTCATCTTTCATATTCCTCTCTGCAAAGTTCTTTGACTCCTAAATAGAGCTCATGGCTCCTTTGTATTATTTTTGAACTTTGTACATTATTCTATTATTGCATATACTGTACCGCACTCTCATTTGTTTACATGTTCTTCTCCTTTACTAGACAGTGATTCCTTCAGGGATGACAAGGACTGAAGGAATCAACTCTGGATCCTTAGTTCCTGGTATGGAATAGTATTCCAATATACATTTTTTAAAAAATGAACTAAAGAACTTTTAAAACTGTATATTGTAGAAATGTTGAACATAAATATAATAATTATTATTACTACTTTACTTCTATTCCAGTTCCTCTGTGTCTCACACCTTCTCTCCCTTCTGTTACCTACCTGTAGGATACATTTTCCTCTGGATCTCAGTCCCTGTGGCTGATTCAACACTCTGTTTCCATATATCCTTGTCATAATCTTTCTCCTAGGACTGCTAATCAATTGCAGGCTGCTGCACCACCCTTATTTGTTTTCTACCTACTTGTGGAACTCTCACCATCAGCCCATCTGCCATTGGCCCTCACTGATGCCAATTTCCTACAGCCAGTCTCCAAAACCCTTCCCATCTCCTCTCTCTTACTGCTGGAACCTTTTAGGGTCAACTGCCATGCTCTGGAAGGTCTATCTAATACTTCTTGGTCTGTTGTATTTCATTTGTCAACTAAGCCTCAATTGTGAGAGCTGTCAGAAGTAGAGGTTAGTTCAGAGGAGTTATTAACTTTTAATCCTTTTTGCTCCCCCCCCCACCTTTTTTAGAGAGAGAGAAAACATGAACGGGGAGGGGTAGAGTGAGAGGGAGAGAATCACAAGTAGGCTTCATGCTCAGCATGGAGCATGATTCTGAGATCAAGACCTGAGCTGAAATCAAGCGTCAGAGGCTCAACCAACTGAACCACCCAGGCACCCCAATCCTTCTTGCCCTTTTAAGCCAAAAGCTAGCTTAAAGAGTAGAGAGTTTCATGTAGTTAAAACAGTTAAAAAGGCATAATTATATTGTGACTTGGTTTATTTATATTGGGAAGTATAGAGAGGACACACTGAGTTACTGAAGACATTCCCATGTTTATTTAACATACATCCAGACAAAACAAAAAAAAAATATTTTGTCAATCTAGCAGTTTAATATATTTAGGATGTATCCACATTAACAAGATGAAAGTAGCACAGCACAGTAGATGACTGTATAAGCACTGCGGTCCAACAGACCTGAGTTAAAGTTCTGGCTCACAAATTTACCAGATCTATGATCTTTGGACAAGTTATTTAGCCCCTCTGGGTCTTAGTTTCCTCATCTTGGGCATGTCACAGATACTTACCTCATAGGGTTCTGAGGACCAAATGAAATAATATACATGTGATGCTTAGGATATTGTCTGGTACACAGAAAATGCTCAGTGAATGGTAGCTTTAGAAAATGTGACACCTAAAATTTCCCTCTCCCTCAATGGCATGAGAAAGTGAATGATACTGCAATATGTGAGCAACTTGATAGGTCATATGATCTACAAAACTAGTCTTCAACTTACAAATTCTGTACCAAAAGTCATAAACATATTGCTAATATGCCATAAAGACAACATTCTAAATGGTGGTTAGGCTGCCCACATCAGCCAATTTAAACCATTTTACACCTGAAATATAATACAAAGAGTACATTACTATGGTAGTGGCATCTCCTAGGAGATGGGGGCTCCTGAAGGAGGAGAGCTATCAATGATCTTGGGAGTAGAGAACTATAGACCAGTCTGTTCATCAGTATGTGTGGGTAAATGAGACACTACCTGTATTAAGAAAAGAGATATCATATGTCAGTTTCAGAAAAAAAAGAAAAAACTGAAGTAACAAACTATAAATACCAGCAAGTCACAGAATCACAATTTTCACTTAGGCTACTTATGCTAGCATCACAGTGGTGATAATGTCTTGGTGTGCTCCTCCTGCACAAAACTTTAACTTGTATTAAACACAGACCACTTTATACTTTTAGTATGTTTTCAAATCATAAATAGTTCCATATGAACACAAGGGAGACAGGTCTATGCTATGCAACATTATACATTTACAAATAGGAAAAGCAAATGCAAACTTGCTAACTGGTAAAATAAAGCATTTGTGAAAAAAAAAAAGAAGTCTGCAGGTGCTTATGTTTACTACATACACAAAGCCTAGGTGATGCTCTAAGAGCTTTTATCGACAATTTGGAAAACAGAAGTTATCAATTAGTGACTAGGCTGAACATAGGATGAAATACTGGAATTAGAACACAAGTTTATTTAAATACACTGGCTATTTGTAAATATTATTACTGATGCCCTTCAAAATAGGTATTATTTCTCCCCAAACTGATGTGAGGTTTAAAGCTATATAACAATTTAAAACTACTCACATTTACTAGTATATAATTAGTACCAAAAGTAGCATTATTATTGTTTTATACTAGGATAACACTAAAATCTATCTTCTTGGGAAGCACATTACCTCATAACAAAATTATCCTTTAATTATAATCTTCTAGCTGGTTGTTAAGATCACATTAGCATTTGTATAATAAGCCCTTATGTAAAAGGCCTTCCCATTTTGGTTAAAAAAACATTACAGTCCACTCAGGAATAAAAATGACCTAAGCTAGGGGCACCTGGGTGGCTCAGTCAGTTAAGCATCCTACTCTTGATTTCAGCTCAGGTCATGATCTCAGAGTCAGGAGATGGAGCCCTGCCATCAGGCTCTGTGCTCAGTGGGGAGTCTGCTTCTCTCCCTCTCTCTCTGCCCCTCTGCACACATGCTCTCTAAAATTAATAAATAAATCTTTTTTAAAAAATGACCTAAGCTATCTGCCTGAAAACATGTTGGTGATTCTGCTTGGAAAAAAATGGAACATCAAAGCAAAAATGCCTTGGTCATTTTAAGCCATAAATGTGGAACTTGAACCATATTAGGTTCCTATTAAACTAACAGAATGAATGATGGGTGACTTCCCACTTCTGATATCACTGATTGAATAGGATTATCAAGGATCACCACTAGACTCTGAAGAGAGAAACAAAGAATGAGGCAAAAAAAACTATAGATACATGGGGTCATGGCCTTGCCACCATGATTAAAAATTAAAGGGTCAATGAGGCCATTTGCTCCTATGAGATCCCTGCCACTAGTTGGACTGAAACTTCCATCTGTGGTCTTAATGTTAAATTATCCACTTACTGATTCAATAGACAGATATGCCAACTGTATCTGTGAAAAGTTTAGACTTGTACCTCAAAAAAATATATTTTATGTTCTCTTCCTGTCAGGTACAGAGAAGTATATTTATATATACAAATGGATCTTCATCTGAATGGAATCATAGTTCACTTTTGTCAGCTTGTGTTGGCTTACGCTGTACCAGTTCATAGCCCTGCCCAGAAGTGCTGTCACAAAATTCCACCTTGATTTAACATATTCCTCAGCAGCTATGACAGTAACTTTTGGGACACCAGCTTGTGTCAAAACATTAAAGGAATCATGTTAACTCTGAAAAACTGTAAGTTACATGTTCTTTTCCAAAATAAGAAAATGTTTTAAGATCATTTAAAAATTATATTTTGTATGTGATTAGTTACTTAGTTACACTCCTTTTAAAATGACTCAGAGGTTAACAAAGAAAAATGGTTAGTGTATTTCAAAATAATAAAACAATAGGCCTACAGTTTAAATTAGAAGGAGGGCATGTATTGCATGGAGCACTGGGTGTTATATGAAAACAATAAATTGTGGATCACTACATCAAAAACTAATGATGTACTCTATGGTGACTAACATAATAAAATAAAATAAAATTTAAAAAAAAGAAGCAATGTTTCTTTAAAAAACTGGCGTAACTTTAATTTTTCAGAATGTGTATTTCTAACATCTTCCATCCTTATTCCCACAATGGAACTCATAAATGCTCTCTTGCAAATTCATCATTATAGTCAAGAATGTGAAAATACTGGATACTATATTTAAAGTATATTTAAAGAAGTTTGGTCATTTATAGGAAAAAGTTTGGGGGCAAGTTACAGAGATGGTGTTAAATGACAGAGACACTTTTCTAGTCTTTTTTCCCACATCCTAGAGGAAAAAAACAATTCACTTTCCCAACCACACCAACTTTTTAACAGAAAATGAGAAACACGAACAGCTTACCTGTTTGACTGCATTATCATTTCCTAAACCACAGTCTGGGCCAGAGCAGACATAAACGTTGGAAGGTAAATCATTATAAGAGTTCCTGCTGACATCTGAAGAATCTCTCATATTGAAGTAAAGAGCCCACAGAAGTCTTGGTTTTTCAACTTCTTCATTTTCTAAATGTAGACATAAATTTTACTTACATCTATAGCACAATAAGCCTGTCAATTAATACAATACATAGCCAATTACTAACAAAGCCATGATTATATAGTGTAGTAAATCAGAGCTTTGTATGTAAAAAATAGTAAATCTTTATCCACACACTCTAATACATGTATATATTTCAAGCAATGATGGCTTTTCAACCTAAGACAAGTTAGATTTTAAAAATTATTTTGATTACAAGTTACTTAGATGTAACTCCAATTGTGTTCTCTTGGATTTCTATTATTTCTCCACAGCAGTATCAAAGATTTCTGAACACATTCATCCTTAAATTATGCCATTGAAGAAGATAACAAATTTTTTTATGTTTCACATAAACAAATTAACTTGAAAAAATTATTAAGTCAATGATCTATACAGGATTATGAGATGTCTAGAAGACATCTATAGAGACAGGAAGTAGATTAGTGGTTACTTAGGGCTGGGGGAACTGGGGTGAGGGATGACTGTTAACAGGTGTGGGGTTTCTATTTTGGGTGATGGAAATATTCTAGAATTTACTGTGGTGATGTTTGAACCATTTGGTGAATATATTAAAAAACATTGAATTTTACACTTTAGGTGGGTGAACTGTATAGTACCGTGGATTATATCTCAATAAAGCAGTTATTAAAAATAGTATATACAGGATTAACACACTGATACCATAACTCACTAACACTTTGTCCTACTGGATTATAAAAGTAATGGCAACCAACAATAAAAATAAGGTTGTGAGACTTAAAGTTGTTTTAGCACATATTCTCTCATTTAACAGTGAGCATCTATTATGTGTGCTAGGCTTGGGATAGGAGACAGAGATGCACAGATAAAGAAGAGTTAGTCCTTAGTCTCCCGATTTTTCATGTTCCCTAATACAGAGGGCCTAGCACACAACAGACATTCAATGAACAATTTCTATATTGATTTTCATCCTGTTTTCAGGTATAATCAAAGTATGATGTGCTTATTAAAAGGTTCTACCTTATTAATACCTAAAAACTATTCTTTGCAATCTTAATAATTATTTCCTTGCCACTCTTCCTTAGAAATGTTATTATTAAATTTTCTTTGCTTGAAAACACAAAATATTGCTGTTAATATATTTATTGACTACAGAATTTTCTTTAGCCTGAATCTGAACAAAAATTCAAATTCTGTACAATGGTAACAATAGATGTATATTAAGATTACTCAAGACCATGCAGTACCTTGTGAATCATAAAGAAAATACAAAAGGTGTAATTAATTAATTAGCTCTTGTTAAATTGGTAATTAATGTAGCAAAATTCACAGCTAATTGCAGCATTCAATTAATAAGAATGCCCAATTCCCCAATTCAGGATAAACAGGATTTTGTTATATTTAAAATATCTCCACTACAAGAATACCAAACACGTTATTTTTCTAGTTGATTTTGAATAATCCATAATTATTAGTGTGACAGGATGAAGAAACTCTGAATGGAAGAAGTGATTCCTTATGATGTCCCTTCCTAATGCTAAGATATATTGAATCTAAGGTATCACTAACTTCACGTAAACACATGAAAGATGGTGAAACCTATTTACTGACAAAATAAAGGAACTTAAGGAACTCATATTTCACAGCTAAAACCATATGGCTCTTAGTAAATTTATTGGTTTTAAGTTTAGTTTCACTAAATCTTATGGGAAGACAATTAAACATACCGCCTGTGATTTGCAACACCAGACTCCAGGAGCACTGCAGAAAGAAAAGTGGGCTAAGGTCTGGAATTCCTTTAATATTGCCCAGTCCATTTCTAAGCATACATTAAGAGAGTTTATCTTGTATTTCATGAAAGTTCCAGCTCAAAGGAGGGCTTTCACACAAAAGAAGTTGAGAAAAATGAATAATCCAATAGATTATAGGAAAGAAATTTCATAGAGGTTGAAGCATTGAGAAGGAACCATGAAAGAGATGAAAAGTTGACATAGGCTGAAGATAAATGCTCTAGATAGAAGGGAGTTATCAGGCTTTGACCTTAAAACCCTCAAAAAGACATATAATTGCTTCATCTTTCTTTGAGGTCAGCTGGAAGGCAGAGAGATAGTTGAAAAAATAACATGCAGTTGTGAACTACACAGTTGTCAAAGAAATATTAAAGCTGCTGAGGTTTGGCTAGGAATACATCACCTAACCAGGAACAAAACTGGTTTTCTGTAATAGCTCATTTCATCAGTTAGATAATGTAAAGGACTGAACAAGTAAAAGGTAATTTAGAATAAGACCTTAGGCAAATTAAACTGAGATAAGTACAAAATAAGGTAGGCAGAAAAAAAAATCAACAATGGCATACCAAATACAAGCAATAAATGGTCTATAGTTACATGCCATATTTAGGAACAGACTATTTTAGCAACACAGCAGAGGAGTGTGAGGACAAGAGTGTAAGAGACTGTCACAGCTGTGACCTACTCTGGATACAACAAATACAAAAAGGAATTAAGATAAGGCATTTGACTTCTGAGCCCAACAATTACCTAACATCCTTATCAGCCACGGACCTCAAAATAACACCTGTAAGGGTAATTTTTGTTTTTAGGTAGTTTTGTTTTTTTGAGATAGGACATGAGTGAGATGGGATGAGATAATTCCACATGCCATGCACAATCAAGGGAAAAAGAGAACATGGTGCAGTAATGATACTACACTGTAGACATTTCAATATATAGTACTAATGAAATTCTTGTTTCAATTCATATAGAAAATCTCAACTTCCTGGGTAAAATAGGAAACCATTTAGGATAGTTATACCATTGCTCACTCAGTCCTTTGAAGGGTATTCTGAAGTCTGGAAGAACTAATCCAGACTGGTATGAATGGTTAGCAATCACCTAATTTTCTTACCTATGCAATCAGGTTCATTAGATATAATAACACCTGAAAATTCTTTGGACAAGGAAATAGGGAAGGGTTTAGAGATCTCTGATGTTCTTAAAGGAGGCTAGGGGGTTTAGAGATCTTTGATGTTCTTAAAGGAGGCTGGGAGGTAGGGCCCTTGGAAGTATTGGTACAATTGCGTCTTAACGTCTTAAGACAGTGTATGTCAAGAGCTCCAGCTGAGGGCGCCTGGGTGGCTCAGTTGGTTAAGTGACTGCCTTCGGCTCAGGTCATGATCCTGGAGTCCCGGGGTCGAGTCCCGCATCGGGCTCCCTGCTCGGCAGTGAGTCTGCTTCTCCCTCGGACCCCTCCCCCTTCTCATGCTCTCTCTATCTCATTCTCTCTCTCAAATAAATAAATAAAAATCTTAAAAAAAAAAAAAGAGCTCCAGCTGATACCTTAAATGTGAAAAAGTAAGAAGGAGTAGAGGGAATACCATTCACAAACCTACTGAAATTTCTTAGATACACCAGCAAAGAAGTACTGTATTTGAGAAGAGAACATGATCTTTTACAATAAATAAACTTCCTTGCAATGTAACTAGGCTGACTTTCACAAAGGCTTATGAAGCACAGCACTAAACAGAATGTAGAACTCTAAAAGAAAAAATAAGCTCAAGTAATGTTATTCCTTTGGCACACATTTTAAAACAAACATTAGGAGAAGGAAGGGAAAAATGAAGGGGGGAAATCGGAGGGGGAGATGAACCATGAGAGACTAGGGACTCCAAGAAACAAACTGAGGGTTTTAGAGGGGAGGGGGGTGGGGGGATGGGTTAGCTGGTGATGGGTATTAAGGAGGGGCATGTACTGCATGGAGCACTGGGTGTTATATGGAAACAATGAATCATGGATCACTACATCAAAAACTAATGATATATTGTATGGTGACTAACATAACATAATAAAATTAAAAAAAACTATTTACAATGCTCTAAAGCATAAGATTTCATATTATCAAGTAATTAAAACATAATAATAAGAGCCACTAAACTGTGAAAATAGGTGCTTTTGCTACAGAGAAGAATGTGCTTTAATGCACTAAAAGTTGATATTGCTCATAAAGTTCTTTCTCATTTAGGCAGGAAAATGAATTGAGCTCTCTTCTCCAGGTGACTTTGCCTCTTTGACCTGCCATGGCCCAGTGCTCACTTTACCTGGTGATTCATTTTCAATAACTCCAACAGTATTTGTTCTGACATTTTAATTAAAATATGACCACTACCTCATCCTGATGATAAAAAGGCCTATGTGTCAGTGAAAACTAGCTTTTTAGTGCCTCAGTGCACCTGAGGACCCCTCTGAGCACATAGTTCTTACTAAAGAATTTCACTCAGGTTCTAAACAATACATCATTTCAAAATGGGATCACTTTAACCATTAAGATTAATGTTTAAAAATCTAAAATGACTAGAGGATGCTAAATAATGAATATGTAATTTCCTCAGCTTTTTTTTTTAAAAGAAAATTAAATGCATTTAAAACATGAAGAGCAATGATACAAGATTCAAATTTAGTGTATTATTGGGACTATCACAAAATGAAATTAAAACAAAAAATTATGAAAAATTTCAGAAACAAGGAAAAAATTCAGTTTTTAAAAGCAAGGTAATCAAAGCCAAGGATAAAACCATGATTCCATATTAGGTTTAAGAATATTCTCAGGTATCAAAACTTCGCAATCAAATTTTTAACAAAAATTCAAACACTTATATATGAGACTTTCCAATGAATAAAATGTAAATATGAAACAAACTAAATTCCAAACTAAAGTGAAATAAAGTTTCAGATTTCAGGATTTTATTCACGTAGCTGAAAAAAAAACTAATTACACTGGTATTAGTTCTTAAAATGGAGTTTTCTTATGTAAATATAAATGTCCCACTACATACTATCTCTGCATTAAGAAATCAAGACACATAGGAGATGAACTAAAAGAAAATACAACAGGTAGGAGTAAATAAATGGTTGCCTGAACAAACATAACATCCAAAGGAAATAAAGATATATGACTCAGTGAGGAAACTGGTCATGATTCAAGTGGACATGCAAATCCTAAAATGAAAATCACCCTCGGTTCATATAAATGTATAATATCCATTAGGCTACTTTTTGATCACTTACATCCTAAATACACTACAATTTACTCCATTCATAGCTACAAGAGCTCCCCTATGATACGAGGAGAAAAATTTAAAAATTTGTGGTTGAAAAACATTTTTCCACCATGAGTAAGTAGCATAGTGGCACATATATTTTGAGAGCTAAATATTTATCACATCACTAGCAAGCTATACATTAAAGGACATTAGGAGGGATTCTGACATTTGTCAATTAATATTGTAATATTATCTCAGCTTTCTTTTAAATAAAGATAACTTTTTCTGATAAAGGTATACTCTTTGTATAATATCTGTAAAATGAAGAAAATTAAAAGGAAAAAAATAAAAGTTGTCCATAATTCCACCCAAACTGAGAGATTTACAGGCAGTCTTTTTCCTATGCATGTGAGTATGTATGCATATAAATGTATATTTTTTGCACCTAATTATACATGTTGTGTGTGAAACATATTTTTCCTTTACCATTACAGAGTGAACATTTGCCCATTTTTAGGAAGAGAATGTGCTCCTTCATGCTACTAAAACGTGTAATACATCACATTTCAGTCCAGGTTGCAGAAACCTTCACAAGATACCTAAGAGGAGTAAAGTTGTTATATTACCTTTTCATCATGAATCGCTGATTATTATTCTTACCTATCTCCGTTTCAGTATATGGAGTAAACAATTTCTGCACAACTGGTTCTAAATCTTCTCTTGCTGTTTTAGAAGATGTACAAGTCAAATGAACCAAATCTGTTTAAAAAAAAAATATCTTGAGTTCCTATTACACACATTTGGCACTAAACTGGTGCCAGGGGAAACAGAGACCTAAGCAAGTCATGGCTCCTGCCTTTAAGGAATTTATAATCTAGTGATGGAACATGTAGAAACCATAACAATATGCTATATGTGTTAATAGCTAAAATATGTGTTAACTAATAAAGAGCACACTAAGACACAAGAGGAAGTAGCAGTTGGTGGTTCATTTTGTAAAACTAGCAGAGTAGAAAAGCTTAGGAAACCACTTATTCATAGAAAGAGCTTAACTTATAACATTCCCAAAGAGGCTGGATAAAGGAAGAGGCTGGATAAAGGATTGCTAAGCAAAGTAGAAGTATGTAAAAAAGACTGAAATGGAGTATTTACCTAGAGAACATGCTTCATATTCTTCAGATGGAAGAATCCATTTATATAAACTTTACTGATAAGTTAACATATCTATTCATTATAGGGTTTTTCTTTAAATTTTTTTATTGTTATGTTAATCACCATACATCATTAGTTTTTTTTTTTTTTTAAGATTTTTATTTATTTGACAGAGAGAGAGACAGCGAGAGAAGGAACACAAGCAGGGGAAGTGGGAGAAGCAGGCTTCCCGCTGAGCAGGGAGCCCGATGTGGGGCTCGATCCCAGGACCCTGAGATCATGACCTGAGCCGAAGGCAGACGCTTAACGACTGAGCCACCCAGGCGCCCCCCATCATTAGTTTTTGATGCAGTGTTCCATGATTCATTGTTTATCTATAACACCCAGTGCTCCACGCAGAACGTGCCCTCTTTAATACCCATCACCAGGCTAACCCATCCCCCCACCCCCTCCCCTCTAGAACCCTCAGTTTGTTTTTCAGAGTCCATCGTCTCTCATGGTTCGTCTCCCCCACCGATTTCCCCCCCTTCATTCTTACCCTCCTTTCTTTTTTTTTTTTCCTTAACATATATTGCATTATTTGTTTCAGAGGTACAGATCTGTGATTCAACAGTCTTGCACAATTCACAGCGCTCACCATAGCACATACCCTCCCCAATGTCTATCACCCAGCCACCCCATCCCTCCCACCCCACCCCCACTCCAGCAATCCTCAGTTTGTTTCCTGAGATTAAGAATTCCTCATATCAGTGAGGTCATATGATACATGTCTTTCTTTGATTGACTTATTTCACTCAGCCTAACACCCTCCAGTTCCATCCATGTAGTTGCAAATGGCAAGATCTCATTCCTTTTGATGGCTGCATATCAAAACCTCAATGAGATACCACCTCCCACCAGTCAGAATGGCTAAAATTAACAAGTCAGGAAACAACAGATGTTGGCGGGGATGCGGAGAAAGGGGAATCCTCCTACACTGTTGGTGGAAATGCAAGCTGGTGCAACCACTCTGGAAAACAGTATGGAGGTTCCTCAAAAAGTTGAAAATAGAGCTACCGTACGATCAAGCAATTGCACTACTGGGTATTTACCTCATTATAGGGTTTTCTAAGAAACCTTTTGGGGGAACACTGCTGGCTAGGTTTGAGTGATACATATACTTGAAAGTCCATAAAATGGCACAAGTTAAAGCAGTATATAGTATTTTCAGAAATCCCAAATCACTTCCTTTTTCCATTTACAGATTCATGGGGCCTGGCCTTGAAGAATGTTTGCGTTAGAGAATATCATGAACAAAAAAGGCCCTTCATAGGAGTAAAGTACTGTAGCCTAAAACACTTAGAATTGCTAAAGCCCAACACACAAATATAAAGTAAGGACAAACAGTTTTGTGTACTGAAAGAAAGGACTAAGGGGATCCCTAATGGGAGAAATTCTTATGGTCCAGGAAAGGGCTTGAGGCAGGATAAAATGATAACAGAAAGAATATATTAGAGAAGAGTATAAGTACTGAGAAATTCTTTCCCCTAAAACACCAGTAGAAAAGTATACTCACTTCTTTTCTGAAAGTTTAGACCAGTAGCCTTTTTTTTTAAACCCCAGGAAGACAGTTCAAAGCTTATCATGGAAGTTGACATCAGAAGTGGATGCTAATTATTAAAATTCCATTCTAAGCATGAATTGAGGACTCTTAATAACCATCTAAAATCAAATTTTGTAGTTTTTTTTCAGGTCCACCAAAAAAAGTGATATTCTAAGAAGGTTTCTATTTTATTTGAGTATAGTTTTTACATGATTGTAACAATGATTCCTATTGATTCTGGGATATAGTAGGATGTATGGTACTAATCATTTCAAAAGGTATAATAACCTTCACAACAAAATTATTCCTAATTAACTAAAATTTTTCAAATGCTATATAACTTTGCTAGGGAGTTTAAACTCCCTAGGTAATTGCTGAATTAAATGGGGTATATAACTACAAAGGCAGAAATTCCTGATAAAACTTGAGAGAAACTGTCCTGTCTCATAAAATACCAATACCCATGCCAAAGTTCTCAATTTTCCAGTTCTTCCTATTCAGTTAATGTGTACTAGAGAAAAAGCAGATGAACATGAATATAAATAAAAGTATATTTTTAATATCTTAAGGGTAGACTACTGGTTCCATTTAACAGGATATATAAAAGAAATATATACTGGAGTAATTACATCCTTATGTTTTGTAACAATTTTATCATAGTTTGGTTCAGGGAGTGCCACCAAAAATTTCTAGTAGTCAAGTCAGATTATCATCTTACACTTAATGAGTTTTATACCAATTCTTAGAAAGAGGGGTGCCTGGGTGGCTCAGCTGGTTAAGCATCTGCCTTTGGCTCAGGTCATGATCCCGGTGTCCTGGGATCAAGCCCCTTGTCCAGCTCCCTGCTCAGCAGGAAGTCTGCTTCTCCCTCTTCCTTTGCCCCTCCCCCCAATCATGCTCTCTCTCTCAAATAATAAAATATTTACAAAATAAAAATAAAAAATAATATAAAATAAAAGCAAAAAACAATTCTTAGAAATACTAAAACATTCATAACCTGAATTGTAATGTCTGAACACTGATTCTGATTAGATGCTACATTATTAATTGACCTAAAAATTTAAGTTATAAACAACTATTTTTTTTCTCCCTACACTTCCTGCTTTTCCTGTTATGATCAAAGTAATATAGACTACTACTTATTTAGTAAGTTATATATGAACCTCATGGTAACCACAAACCCAAAAACTATAATAGATACACCAAAAATTAGGAGAAAGAAAGTCAAACATAACACTACAGAAACTCATCAATCACTAAGCAACAGAGGGAAAAGAACTACAAAACAACCACAAAACAATTAATGAAATGGCAATAGAGATACCTAGCAATAATTACTTTAAATGCATTATGTGACTTTAATTCTTCTCCACAAAATTAACTTGCTCAATAAATGCTAAAAATGACTACAAATTACATCAGATGGGGCAAGTGCTTTCCTAAAAGCATTACACTTATTAATACAAATCAACAACTATTAGTAAGATTGTAGAAGATACATCAGAAGTGAAAATATTACCCATTGGCATCATGTGATATTATAACGAACTCAAAATTTTTTAAACCTTGGCTCTAACTTTTATAAACTATGCTCCTTTTAACTTCATTTAGCAACTGCTTAAAGTCTTAATGGTCTTAAAAATGATGAAATGTATTCTCTATCACAATTTCTCTGCTGGCAATAATACTTAGATTTGATTGGCATTAAAGAAGCCTTAGTGCAATATATGCTTTAATTCATAGAATAAAACAGTAACACTTGAAAAGTTTGGTGAATGGAGTGGTAGTCACAATCAGTACCACTGAAACAAAGATATCTGAAATTCACAAGTCTGACATCACTCAACACGAAACTAGAAATACAACCACACTTTCATTTTAGTTCTCTAAAACTTCTTGGTCAAAACAGCATCTGTCCCAATGCAGTGAGACCCTCCCCCAAAAGACCAGTGCAGGCCCCCGCCACAGCACTTCCCTAAAGTTTGGAGTTTTAAAAGTTAGCAGGCTTGGGGTAAATACCCAGTAGTGCAATTGCTGGGTCATAGGGTAGCTCTATTTTCAACTTTTTGAGGAATCTCCATACTGTTTTCCAGAGTGGCTGCACCAGCTTGCATTCCGACCAACAGTGTAGGAGGGTTCCCCTTTCTCCGCACCCTTGCCAACATCTGTCATTTCCGGACTTGTTAATTATAGCCATTCTGACTGGTGTGAGGTGGTATCACACTGAAGTTTTGATTTGGATTTCCCTGATGATGAGCAATGTTGAGCACTTTTTCAAGTGTCTGCTTGCCATTTGAACGTCTTCTTTGGAAAAATGTCTGTTCATGTCTTCTGCCCATTTCTTGATTGGATTATTTGTTCTTTGGGTGTTGAGTTTGATAAGTTCTTTATAGATTTTGGACAGTGCTCACCATAGCACATACTCTCCCTAATGTCTATCACCCAGCAACCCCATTCCTACCACTCCCCACCACTCCAGCAACCCTTAGTTTGTTTCCTGAGATTAAGAATTCCTTATATCAGTGAGATCATATGATACATGTCTTTCTCTGATTGACTTATTTCACATAGCATAATACCCTCTAGTTCCATCCATGTCGTTGCAAATGGCAAGATTTTGGTTTTTTTGATGGCTGCGTTAATATTCCATTGTATATATAGACCACATCTTATTTATCCATTCATCTGTTGATGGACATCTTGGCTCTTTCCATAGTTTGGATATTGTGGACATTGCTGCTATAAACATTGGGGTGCACATACCCCTTCAGATCACTACATTTGAGGGGTGGGAGGGATGGCATGGTTGGGTGATAGACAATGGGGAGGATATGTGCTATGCTGAGCGCTGGGAACTGTGTAAGACTGATGAGTCACAGACCTGTACCTCTGAAACAATACGTTATATGTTAAAAAGAAAAAAAGTATGAAGGGAAAAATGAAGGGGGGGAAACTGGAGGGGGAGACGAACCATGAGAGACTATGGACGCTGAGAAACAAACTGAAGGTTCTAGAGGGGAGGGGG